CACGGTACGCCGAAACGAAAGCTCTTCCTTCGGGGACTGCTGTGGAAGTTGCCAAGTTTTTCATCGAGTCCATCGTCCTCCGGCACGGCGCTCCAGAAGTTGTGATTACAGATCGCGGATCATCGTTCATGGCACAACTGACCCAAGAAATCCTCCGACTCAGTCACAGCAGCCATCGTCGTACAACTGCGTACCACCCGCAGACCAACGGGCTGACGGAGCGACTCAACAAGACAATCGCCGATATGATCTCTATGTACGTCGACGTAGAGCACAAGACGTGGGACGAGGTGCTGCCCTACGTCACGTTCGCCTACAATACGGCGGTTCAAGAGACCACTGGATTCACCCCTTTCCAGCTGGTACATGGTCGGAAGGTAACGACCATGCTGGACGCCATGCTGCCCCATGAGCCATCTGACAACGAGAGCGACGACGCCCAGGCGGTTGCTCAACGCGCCGAAGAAGTTCGCCAGCTCGCCCGACTCCTGATTCAAGACCAGCAACGCGTCGACGCCGGCCGCTACAACCTTCGTCGCAGGGACGTCCACTTCCAGCCCGGAGATAGGGTGTGGGTATGGACGCCCATCCGTCGCCGCGGCCTCAGTGAGAAATTGCTGAAGCGCTACTTTGGGCCCTACAAGATCATCCGACGCCTCGGCGATCTGAACCAGTGTTGCGGAGTTGCCACTCCGGAGTTGGAATGATTCCGGAATCATTCCGCATTTTCACGACCCGGAATGGAATGGGAATGCAATGGCGGCAACGTTGAAGGGAATGGAATGGGAATGGAATTAGGTGCCTTCTGCCCGGAATGGAATGGAATGGGCACGGTTCTTCTTTTTTTCTTTTTTTAGTGTTTACAGTCAGCTAGACCGAGCCAGTCAGTGAGTCAGTTGCTCAGAAATAAACTGAGCGGGAAACTGCTAGCCCGCGAGGAGCCCTAACAGACTTATACGCCAACAAAATGCAATACAAAAAAAACAAGCGTCAAAGCAAAGAGCAAAGGGGGAAAGGGGGGTAACGTGGCGCCTTTCACAGACGCGCAGGCGTCGGGCTTCGATGGCGTTACACGAGAGCGAAACAAGAAACCACGCACCAAGCAAAAGAAAAGGGAGCGGCAAAGAAAGCAACCGCTATGCACAACTCCTCATCGTACTTCTTGTCATGCTTTTTTTGTTGTTGCGACGGTTTGTAGAATGCACGCGCGCGCACAGACTGAGATCTGGGAGCGGAAGCGACTCTTAACTCGCAGAGCTCTGATAACTCGTTGACTTGGGCGCCGTCGAAAGATGATCAGGTATTGTTTTCTTATAGTTCGAGGCGCGTTGTTTAGCAGGCAGCCAACCCTGCTGCCTTCCACGTTCATTCGTGCGCACTCCTTTGAAGTGCGAAATGTGGGTTTGCTTCGGCAACCAAAGCGAGATTCACTTCCCTCTTCTCCTCTTGCGCTTTGCTCAGCCGAGGCTTGTTTTTTGTACTGCATTTGTATTGTATGTCCGCCTATTGGTCTTTGTTTCGATGCTTGTTTTCTGTGTTTTATGTTTTAGTGGGTTGGGGTAACAAGCAAGCTAGCGGATTCCCGCTCATTTCCCTTGACTTTAGTCTCTGCATACTTTATTTCACCTTGCGATGGACCGCTGCGGACGCTACGAGTCACCCTAGGCAATCCAGTACCGTGAGCGGGACTGCAGGGTGACGCAGCACTCAGAAAGCACTGGATTGGTTTCGATGGCTCTCGTGCCGTTTGTTGAGGTCCATCGTAAGGTGAAGTAGACTATCGTCGCCGCTCCGCCGCTCTTGGTGTGACCGAACTGACTAGACCCGCAGAAAGACCGTCCCGCGCCAGACGAGGTGCGACCGTTGCTGTGAGGGCAACTGAGAAGGAGAGCTGGGTGCTAGCTGCCACTGAGGTTTTGGCTTCCGTGCGTCTCGGCTGTCCGGTGTGCATTCGTGCTCCTTGTCCTGGACCTTGAGGCGGTGAGAAGTCAGTTGGACGGTGCTAATGAGGAAACACGGGGAATGTCAATTCGAACGGCGTGGTATTACCCCGTTAATTGTATCTTGATGGGAAGAGCTCTGTCAACGCTGACTTCCCGACCCGTCGCCACTACGCGAACTACCGACACCGAGGTAGAAGAATGAATCGGTTGGTACCGTCTGCTGCTTGAACCCGCCACTCGATCAGCGCGAAGAGGAACATTACAATTCGGACGAGAAGACAAGATAAATACATATTGAGTCATGGCACCGTAGAAGACATTTTTCTACATTAGTCGCGAAGAAAATAAACAAGCTGCACGCTGAAATTTGTGCAACGAAACTATACACGGTGCAGTCGGCGTATATCATCGAACTTTATTCGCCGTCTGAAGAGGAAACACGAGAATGAGTATGCGAAGGGTGGAAAAGGGAAGGCGAACCAGCCAAAAATTGAATTGAATATGATAAGAAATATCGAGATTCGTAAAGCAAGCATGAACTTGTGCGTTTTAGAACAGGTTTCGTGACATGGTCTATACGGTCTCTCATGCTGCGCCGCAGAGGTTGCAATTTATCAGAGGATGTGTTCTGCCGCTGTGCATGGAGTCGCTTCCAGCAGTGTACTAGCCGTGTTGCTGTATTTGAAGAATACAGTAATATAGCTTATTCCCGCGCCACGCACGAACTAGATATTTTTTATGGTCTTATCAAACAAACACGCCTGGCCGCGTATGTCTTAAAAGTCAAATGCAAAAAAAAAGTTAAAAAAAGAAAAGAAAATGAGTGGATTTAAGTTTTGCTGTGTGTTGCGAGCGACGTGGTCGCGAGACCGATGTCTTAAACAAGCATTGACATATCAAGGGGCTTTCTCGATGTTTGCAGTACATTGTAAATAACATATTCTGCCACCAGCGGTCCGCTTAGTAAAAGCAGTGCTTTTTTGAGAAATTTTGCTCTTTTTTTTTCATTTTTTTTTTTTTTTTTTGCAATTGTCTCTGCATTTGATAATGTCAGCTTTACGCTGCTTATGCCGGCAACAAAATGTAGCTGTCAAGTGCCAATTTTTACGTTTAGGAATTAAAGGAATGGAATAGAACGATTTAGCCATTCCAGGAGTGGGAATGGGCTCAGTGTCTCCATTCCTAGGAGTTGAAAGGAATTGAATTATCGAAAACTCTAATTCCCCGGAATGGAATTGGAATGGAATGGGGGTGCCCATTCCGCAACACTGATCTGAACTACGAAGTTCTACCCGACGGAACGCGCCCATCTGCGAGACGTCAGCCGCGACCCGAGGTGGTGCATGTCGTCTGGCTGAAGCCGTATTACGAACGATAGGACTCTCCACTCTCGTCGACGAGTGAACTGTGGACTGTGAACTCCGGCTAGCAATTCTGCTGTCCTTTTGTTTTTTTGTTTTCCGTTTTTGTGCTGCATCGGGACGATGCACTTTTAAAGGGGGGGATAATGCCGCGCGCAGGGCTGAGAAAGCAACGCTCGGTCACGGACCCCCAGAAAGTTCTCGTCTATTCATGTACCGCACGTAACTTCTATCATTTATTCCTGCTTTTGTTTTCTAGAAAGTGCGTGTTCATTCTCGCCCGATCACGCGACGCTCGAGCCGCTTTCGCCGAATCTTCGAGATAGTGACACACTCTAGATAAGAGGCCGCCCACTACCTTGTCGAGTCAGTTTCGCCCCAGCGCTCGACTCCGCTGTCTCGCCGACCTCGACGCTCGCGACGCTTTGTTATTATTTTCTATTCTCCTTTTTGTTTTCGGCACAAGTTCGCCACATTAAACGTTTATTTCTTCCTGTTTATTTATTGTCATTCTGGTCACCACCCGTGACAATATTGAAAAAAAAAAAAAAAAAAAAAAAAAAACAAAGAACGGCAATCGGTGCTAGGCATTGAACTCCGGTCACGGATGTAGAAGCCTAGTGCGCTGCTGGCTGAGCTTCGGACCAAGCACGCAGCAACGAGAGGAGCAGAAGCAAGTGGTGCGAAAAACCGCGTAAGCGGAAAGAGTAAAAGAGGAGAAAATGGGCAAAGAAAGAGAGGAGCAGAAACAGGTGGTCTGGAAAAAGCGCGCGGAATGAAAAAGAGTGGAATGGGCAAGAAAACGCTCCTACACTTTCTTAGTGACCAAGAAAATTCACCTTAAAGGCTTTATATCCGGATGGTGCTGAAGAGGAGCGCGCGAAGCGTCACAAAGAGACAGTGGTGTGACGTAATTCGCTTTTATACAAAACCCTGTCCTGGGCGCCACCCGAACTAAGCACCACCTACCCTATAAACCTATCGCATTTAAACGCGTTTGGCAGAATGACCAAACATGCAGCCATTTTTTTCTCAGATCTAATCGTACTGTGAGCTTCGACATTTGCTGGGATTCAATTGCTCACCATGCTTGGCTGTTACTTTATCCTGCAAAAAAGTGAGCTTAGAGACCTTGATCTGAGTCGATCTTACTTGATTAAAGATTATTCTTGTGTGATGTATTATGTTGCCATTTCAGGGAGACCCGAAGCATCGGTTGTTTAGGACGATAAAGGAACCAGCCAGAAAAGCGTCGCAAGAATATCTAAACAATAAACAGCAATCTCTCAATCTATGAAAGGACAACAGGGCAACAAAAAATGTGCCATGAAGCTGGTCAGGAAAAAAAAAATGTTTGTCTTTCCAAAACCGGACTTGAAAACAAAAGAATACGTTTTCAAATTATTGAGCAGAAAATGTAAGTACGGTATTTTTCCGGTGCCCAAAGCGAAAGTTACTGAATTTGTTTTGCTTCCAAAAACGGGAATTTTAAGAGGAGCCTTCTGAAAGCCTGCTTACTTACCTACAATTACTATTTTAATAATCGTATCCCCATTCGCCTTGAGTTTTCTATATCTCCTATCTTCCCGATTGCAGAGTACGCGCTAGGCCATTGGCTCAGGTTAATTTCTGTACCTTTCAACTTTCCCTTCATCTCCCTCTCTCAACAGCTTCGATTTACTACAACTTCACTCACCAGGAAAGGCAGTTCGGCGAGGTAGTTGGCTAAGTAGTATGTGTTGATGCTGTACCAACTGTTGCGGTTCTCCCTGAGCAGAACCAAGACTTCAATAGGAACTGGAATGAAACGAGTTGCTTTCAATTAACAAATTTATCCAAAATAGATCGTTTATTATATATATATATATATATATCTTTCTTTTTTGTTCAGTATACAAAACACTGCATAAAATATGCTTGAAACTTCGGGATTCATGAAAAAATTGTTCCCAACTCAAAATCTCATGTTGTATAATTTATTATTTTTCTAGTGCAAAACAAAAATGTAGATATATGTTCCAGAGCTTTACGTGATATCATATGCTTTCATGCAAGATCAGTGTTTGCGTGTGGCGTATTCTAAACGCTGGTTCACACAAGTACGTGAGTCTGATTGAGTGCTACTGCAGCGGATTGCGGCGTTAATCCTTCTATGGATTGCTATAATAACCGAGTTTTAAGTCACAACCGCCATTGCTCCTGAGCGGCGCGGTCGTAAGAGACTTAAAACCCGATTGCAGTCACACGCGGTTGGACTCAACGCAAGTGTGTGAATCACCCTTTATGCCTCTTGAGAGCGTTGTATGACAACTTATTTGTGCCCCATTCAGTAAATGTTGAAATACTTTTTTTATAATTGTAAATTTGATACTTTTAGAAGTTTCTGAGTACTGACCAAGCGCGTTGCACTCTAGAAAATAATTAATCGACTTTTTTTTATTGTGACATTTATGTAATGCAGCGACATCATGGCAACAAAGAAAAAGAAAAAAACAACAGAAAAAACGCGCGATACCCACACGCTATGATTCTCACTTCCCTTTGCCCGGGTTTATATTGCTGCATTTTTATATAACTAGTTTCTTCAAATAAAAAAATAATCGGTAGGAAGTCAAATACCCCTACATTCTCAATCTCAAGGAAAATAGCCTGTTTTTTTTTACCACTAAGACCGTATGATATGACTTGTTTGGGTGCAGTACTGCTCGCTCTTCTCAAATTATTTAAACAAATTAAAGTAAATCCGCTTGTCGACGTTCTAAGTGCTTTTCGGGGCAGTATAGTTGCAGCTTCTTGTAAAAGTGTAGAAATGTGCTCAATAATCCTGCGTTTATTTCTTTCTGCGCGTGATTGCTTTAGCCGAGGATAGAAAATTCCCAAATACAACAAACGCCATGTCGATGCACTTATGATGCAGCTTGATTGACTCTAAAAAAGCTCGCAATATGTCTTTGGACTTTAGCAAACCCGAGCCCTAACCAAAATATATGTCAAATCTCTTCGTCTTTCTCATTTTCTACGGAAACACACTTCCTTTCGACTGCTCAATTTTATGGTTTTGCGGGAAGAAAGAAAATAAGTGTAACTCACATACAATTACGGTCGGAATCAGCGACTGGAAGTAGAGTATGGCAATGACAGTGAAGTACATCTTGGCGGTGTGGATGACCATTGTCGCCTTCCTCCCGATGTTGTAGAAGAGGGCGATGAGGAGGATGGCGAAGGCCACGTACCCGGCAAATCGAAGCGGCGCCGCGACCTGGCATCCGCGCAACACAAAACACGGGTATCGTCATTGACTCTGAGAAGCTGCTGGATGCATACTGCCCTGCCTCACACTCGGAGCACTAACCAATTATCTCTTGAACGCATATAGTTTGAAGAACAACATGCGGACGGAAGGGACAAAAACTAAAACAAAATGTTTCAGGCGAACGCTTTCTTATCGAGTAATGGTACAAAAAACAATACCCACAAGAACCCCCCACCAAAAAAAAAAAAATAAACATCACCCGTAGTCACAAACTAAAAGGGGAATTTTCTCGGTGGATTTGGAGCAGGTTGGACAAAATACTCGACATACATATTTAATATAAGTTACTAAATTCCTGCTTTATAAAGTATTTAAATTACTACTAAAGTTACTTTCCTTGGGAAGTATCTTCAGTAGAGTAGAAATATTTAGAAATGTAATTAAATTACTTTTGAAGATACTTCGGCATGGCGTAATTTGTTTCGACTTCAGTGACTCTAGAACACTTCATCTTAAAGTAGCAAATGCAAGAACAAATACAAAATTCCAGCGAAATTCTATGCAACCCCAGTAGAGGCGCAGCCCCAGCAGAGTAGTGTGATTGCTGGTGCATGTTAAAATATTATTTTTTTCGGACAAATGAACAACAAGAGCGTACTCTACCTAGTCACATCGCTAAAATCGGAATGCTCTGGTTTTTTTTTTAATTCACACATTGAACGTACCGTTTCACAAGGTGTCGTAGTCACTATATCTGAAGTGCACGTTAAGGAAAGTTATATACGCAAAAGAATTAAGTAAATATTGCGAAGGGCTCAGGTATAGTGGGCATGGCATTTGTCGCGCCTTCTTCGAGTTGAATACCCCGAACGCTGCAATCAAATATCACGAAACTTCAATAATAAAGGTAGAAGGGGACACAGAGGAGCGCTGCTGTCTTGCTTGTGGTTGTTGACATTTTTATCATCTTCGCCACACAATGCTCCAAGAGCCCGTTCAGAAAGGCGTATATCTTTGAGAGGACTCTCCGTTTGCAATTTAGAGCTCATCCTGCTCGTAGCTTGTTTCCTATATTGGTGTTACAATCTCTGTGCTCATGAAAGGGCCGGGCTATCAGGGTTCGACCAGAGACAGTTCCTAAAAGTAATTGGCATATTGGCCTCAGCGGGGTCAAACATAAAAAAAAGCAAAAATAAAATCATGAGCCATTCCACTCTGTAAAGGTGGATGACCAGCGAAGCTGGTTAGCAGACGGCACAGACCCGCCCCGAGGAGCCGAAGGAGACTAGACACGCACGAAGGGACTGGCACCCGGCGGAAAGTAGACACGCGCGACGGGAACGCCACTTCGGGAGAGCGGAAGGAAAGGAAACCTAGCCATAAACAGCTCCGCTGCAAAAAAATTTTTTTTTTAAGGTGAAAGTTTTATATGTCTTATCGTTCAGTCGATCTTCAAAGTCCATGAGCGAAAACACGTCGAGACACGAAAGGTACGAAAACCGGCGACACGAAAGGTACCAAAATCCACGGTTCGTCACTGAACCCCGAGATGGCGTTACTTGTGCCAGAGTCGGTGGCGGCGCTATATTCCCGCAAAAAGACTTTTCGCACTTGTTCCTCGGCTGGCGTCGAACAACCTATCGTTCAGTAGTCAGACGGGGTACCCCTCCGCCCGGGTACCTCCACATCCGTAAATCATGTCTCTCTTTAATGAATCGGCGCTCGGGCTTTCGCCTTCAAGTTGTCTTGGGGATAACGTAAGTGACCCTGTTCTTCTTTGGTGCCTTCTTTTCACTTCCTTCCATGTCTTCTTTTGTTGGCATTTCGAGTCAGCGTCTTTTGTCCTGGCTTATTCCCTGTTTAATATTCGGCCTCCCGCTCCACTTTACGTTAGCAATCGGTTCGGCTTTGCGCTGGAGTGTTCAAGTAAAATATCCCCCACGACCAATATATTTTTTTTATTGAAAAATGTTTTTGAGATAGTGAGTACAAGATAGCGAGAAATGTAATTAAGATAGAGAAGCAAAAACTCTCAATCAAATGTATTTGGAAGACACCAAATTGCTACCAAAAGTAATTGAAATACAGTATCTTGAGTAGAGTATTTGAGATAGGCACAAGTGTGATTTGGAAGCGGCTTCCACCTCAAAAAAAAAAAAAAAAGTTTTGCACATCGTTCATTCGCCGTGGGAAGTAGGTAGTTCTTACAGGATTTGGTTGTTGGAGGAAGAAGCAATGCTCTTGATGTTTGAAGCGTGTACGTGTTGATAAGGTAGCATGCATCTAATCTAAAATGCACCTACATATATATCTTGGTTATCTACATAAAGGAGGAAATCAGTAATACTGCGCAAAAAGCCGGACTTTTTTTTTTCTACTGTTTTTGGGGTGAAAACGAGTATAGTACGCGACGCCGCCTAGACAGAGGCGTTGGCCGCTTTGCGGCTACTCTCGTCAAGCTTCAGTCTGTTTGCCGCTTGGGGCGGGCCGGTAGTCCACCGAAGAGGACGTCATGCTCAGGCCTTGTCTTCAAAAACACGCTCCATATTTACCGATGGAATTTATCGCAAGAAAAGCAGTGCGCGGCGAGTTCTGAGCGTTCCATTTCCGTCCGTCGGCCCACGAGATTGCGGCATTAGGGACGATAAGAACGAGGAAGGACGAATGGCAACGAACGCGAAGATAATGAGCCACACCGCCTTTATGAAGTTCTCAGTCACTATAGTGGGTAACGTAAGCGAGAATGATTGGTTAAGGAACGCGTCGTGTCGGGGCATGAGAAGAGGAAAATAGAAAGAAAATGGAGCAACAGCCAAGGCCAAAGGAAGGCAAAGCAGCAGAAAACAACTATACGTCACCAACGTCATTGCGAAAAAAAAAACATGGCAAGTATGAGCACATTTGCCATGTTTTTGTTTTTGCACAAAAATACACAATAAAGAAAAAATAAATAAAAGTTGGATCTCACGCAATGCGAAACATAAACGAAATGCAGCCTCCTGTAAAAACAACACAAAATTACGTTCAGAGCCGAAATAAAGCTTGGCACTTTGTCCAGGAAGGACTCGCGTTGAAAGAGACCCCTATCTTGTACACACGGGAAAACGAGAACGCTGCTCTTTTTTATGCTCATGATATGTTTGGATTTTTGCGTTTGTTTTTTCTAATCACTCATACCGGCAGCACCTTGCCCTTCTGCATTCCACAAAGCCACCTTAGTTGATAAGGAGGGCTTTCGCGATCCAGGTATCCTGTCGTCTCAGTGGAAAACAAAATGCGTCCCCTTCGGGTTCTGAGGCTGCCTGACCATCCAGGCGAGCTACAGGCCACCTTCTTACCGACTGAGCTGATTCAAGTAATCCCACGTGCGGGTATTACGAATTCACAACTTGGCTGTATTCACCCATCAGGCTCCTTACTTGAAGTCTGTATAAAGCTGACATTTTAAGGTACTCGGAACATGGCTCGACTATTTCATTAGCCAATAGAACACCGAAGAACGAATCGCGATCCAACGAGCGTGAACATAAAGTGGACAAACACGATGGATAGAGTGTCTGAGGGCTGTCTTTTGTATGATATGTGAGTAGTGTGAGCGCGGCCTTAATCTGTCCGTGACCATAGTTTTGCCAGTGAAGTAAATTTTCCTTTAAGCTCGATAGCCACTAGGGATGGGAAATTGATAGATTAGCCTACCGATTCATCGATTATTGCTTTAATCGCGATTACATGGTTTTAACCGCTTAATCGGTAAAGGTTTGACGAACGAAAAGAAAGTAAAAAAAAAAAAAATTAAACGCCTTCACCACGCAGGCGTGGAAGAGTGCAGCCGTATAAGGGCAACCTTTAGGTAAAAGCTTACTCTAGCGTAAACTGTAGGGGAGAGATTTGTAACTACAGACGAGTCCGGAAGGTTGCACATGTCCCGGCTACTTAAATGCCCCTCGAATGTCCGTTTAGTTTAGCAGAAACTATTACGAATAGTCGAAGGAGGTCGCTCTTGCCAGATACTATCAACGAACATCTTTGCCTCATGCAGATAAAATAATATCCTTTGAGAGTGAGTCTCTTTGAACTGTTTTAGAGCGCAGCTCTTAGGGGCCCGTTTCCGGCTTGAGCAGCGTCGGCGTCGGCGTCGGCGTAACCGCGCGGTGCATCATGAGAAATGTCCCATAATGCACCGCGCGAGCCCCCCACCGGGTCACGTGACCCCGTGGGGGGGGCACGTGACCCCCCGAGGTCACGTGACCCCGGTGCATCATGGGAAATGTCCCATAATGCACCGCGCGAGCCCCCCACCGGGGTCACGTGACCTCGTGGGGGGCACGTGACCCCCCCAAGGTCACGTGACCCCCCGAAGCCACGTGACTCCCCTGAGGTCACGTGACCCCCGCCGATGTCGCGTGACCCCCCAATGACGTCATCGTCACTGATGACGTCACCGGCCTCTACATCGTCATCGTCATCCTCACTGATGTCGTCACCGGCATCCACATCGTCATCGTCATCGTCACTGATGACGTCACCAGCATCCGCATCGTCATCGTCATCATCACTGATGACGTCACCGGCATCCGCATCGTCATCGTCATCATCACTGATGACGTTGCCGACATCCGCATCGTCATCGTAATCATCACTGATGACGTCATCAGTGACGTCACTGATGTCGTCACCGGCATCCACATCGTCATCGTCATCATCACTGGTGAAGTCATCAGTGACGTCACTAATGACGTCATCGGTAACCGTATCGTCATTGTCACTGATGACGTCATCAGTGACGTCAGTGGTGACATCATCGGCATTTGGGGGTCACGTGACCCCCAAGGTCACGTGACCCCCCAAGGTCACGTGACCCCCCTGGTTAGTTGAACCCCCCCCCAGGGCCCTTCCCTCCTCCTCCTCAAGAGCTGCGCTCTAATTCGGCGTTACAGGGAGTTGTAAACGGCTTTCACTTTTTTTAACTGCACATCGAGGTTGATTTATAGTCAAAATTTTATATTGCGCCGTTTATTACATATGCAGCAAAACAAATAATATATATATATATATATATATGCATAGAAATGAACGAGACCGATTAATTGATTAAATATTTGATTAAAGGATAACGACTAATCTGAATGGAAATTTTATTCGACGCCCAGCCCAAATAGCCACGAACGTACCCTCCTAGTTGGTTTATTACAATCAAAGTAATATCAAGATTTGGTGCTGCAAGCTCGTCGCGTTGCGCTCTGCTCTCAGGGACTTCACAAAGTTCAGATCATTTTCTGTTTGTGTACCTATTTATTGATGTATTCATAAAACGTACTGTCTGGGACTGTAGGCATTAAAAAGGAAGGGAGCAGATACACAGAAAAAAGTAAAACTGAAAGAAATGAACATTATTAACAATAGCAACGAACAATCACAATTTGTGGAATACTTAAAAAAGAAATGGTGGGTAATAGCATTTTAGAACGAGTTGAGGGACGATGATTGACTCACCCTGTTTCTTGTCGTTGAGAGCCAGCAGCGTTTTAGGAGAATTCGAAACTGATAGAACTGACTCACTTTACACGAATGAGCAGAGTAAACTTTCTTTTTTTCCTGAAAAAAACAACAACAAAACACATTGAATGTTGAAGGTTAGGTAGCTCTTAGGTAACCACGTAATTGGAAACTATACTGTTCAAGTGCGAATGTATCGATCATCTAGAAATGCAAGCTTCCGCCGGCGTTTAATCCTGGACTGCGCGTATTCAACCGCCAGAACAAAAATTCCTTATGCTGATATGACACTCACCTCAGTAACAACAGCATGCTTAATGTCCTTTTCCTCCCCCCCCCCCCCCCCCCCAAGAAAGAAAATATTTTCGAATATAGTATGTGAGCTTTAGAAAAACAGTGCGTGGCTTGTTTTCTAATAATAGTAATACTTACAATAATAGCATTAATAATAATAATAATAACCATAATACTGATGATCCTGCTACTAATAAAAATACGAATAATAATGCTGTCTCACTGGACCCTGGGGACTCGCCACACCCCAACCATTAAGTTTGCGTTGGTTACATCGATTAGGCCTTTTTACGTCTTCACGTCATGTTCAGTGTCACATCGCATACTTTACTTTTACATCTAAACTTCGTTTACTTCGTAGTCACTTAAGAGTTTCTTAGTTATATCTTAGTGATTTACCGTTTCAGTGACTTGTAATATACGAAGACGCACGGCGGTTTTAAATCTGTACGAATGACCGTAAAGACATGAGGGGCAATGGTGTGAGCACGAAGGCAATTCCAACATTATGAGCCCAAAATTCTGTTGTTTTTTTTTTTGTTGTTTTTTTTTTGCGTAGACCCTTTTAAGTTGCAGCCACCCTGCTCTATACGTCATACAAATGACACGGTATTGACTATGGAGATGATGACAGAATTATTCGCGGACGCAAAACAAGAATGTTTGAAGCGATTCATACATATGTAAGCCTCGGACATATCCGCAGATGGTTTTTCTATGACCAATGTGATACATGAAAGGAACATGCCTCAGGAGGTGTGCGCGGACTTCATTTAGTATGACGCATTAGCGGTGTGACCGGTCTACGCTCTCGAGCTTTCACTTTCCGCATCTGGTGTCTTTTTCACCGAATGAGTTCCAAGTGGTATTTGAACCTGTGTACTCATGATTCGTCCTCCGTACTTGGTCTCGAACTCTGTTTTTCTGGCGTCAGACGGGGCGGGCGGAGGCGGAGGCAAGGTGAAATGACTGGCCAGTTTTCCTGCGTGGTTGCCATGGGCTCCGGCCGCCACCTCCGCAACTGAAATACACGAGCAGCAGGTCAGCTCTAAGCAAAAAAACAATGCAAAAAAAGAAAAACTACGCAATATTTAGATCGGTAATTCTTACTTGCTATAGTTAAAGGGACTTTTCAGCAGACCGTTCACGTGCTCCGCGGATCGCACTACAGGAACATTTGAAGCGTGCTTTTAAGCGCGCGAACCCGCGGTCGTGGCATCATACAACGAGCTTAGATAGGCATAGGATAGGAGCCGTGCATACAGAGAGCTTAGATAGGCGTAGGATAGGAGCATAGGAGGCAAATGAGGAGATGCTATTGGCCGAAAGCGGGCTGGGCGTGCTCCAGGGCATCTTCACAAATTCGGATGTGGCCAATTAGAAGCCGGAAATAATACCCTGGCCGTGGTCGCGAGAAACAAACTTGATAAGTGCATCGGAGTAACTCTCGGTGACTGAATATATGGTGCAGGTGTTTCCATCACGGTCATCCTAAATCAACGTGGAAAAGCGCGACTAGCGGGATGATAGTCATAATCCGTACACCAGGCGCCGAGAGCCGGGAATCTGCCGTCCGAGCTGCCACACTCTGTCCGAGCAAAACAGAGTTCGAGCACCACATTCGTTTCTTATCTTTTTGCATGAGCATAAGCGAAACATCACGTACACCCTATCTTCAGCCATGCAAAGTTACTACATTTAACCCTTATGCTCTTATGGAAACTGTTTGTCGCCACCACGGCTGGGGGATTCTTTTTGGCTTCTTGTTGGCCAAGACTGCATGCCAAGCTCTCTATCTGCGTATGGTGCACGCCATGGCTCTGCCAAACCCTTTCTATGCACGGCGCTGTGTATCACTAGGCATGCGCTTAAAACCATACTTCAAAGGCTCCGCGGTAGTCCGGCACGCGGAGCACGGTAGAGGTTTACTAAAAGTCACTAATGACAGCTTAAAAAACGCAAGGCATATATATTACGTCCACGCTTCATGCTTTGTGATTCATTTTACGACGTGGCTGAAACAGTGTTGTACGGAACGGCGTTCCTTTTAGGAGGAACGAAGAAACGCCGCTGTTCCATTTTGCATCGCTGGAACTGGAACGGGAACGCGTTACATTTTTACTGGAACGGAAAGAGTAACGGCGTTCCTTTTTTTGTCCAGTGGGGTAATTTTTATTTTGTTTCGAAAGGGAAATATTGAAAGTACAAAAACAATATCTTTACGATGTGCAGGATCTCGCTACTTTTTTGGCTACTAATCTTATGAATTATTTTGTGTGGTCTTCGCTTGCTAACAGTTTCGGGTGCAGGAGAGCTGGTGGACAATGATTCTTTTTTGAGTGCCCGAAACGTCGGTAGAAAAGCAAGGCTTTTAGTCGTAGGAAAGGACAAAGAAAGAGGGTTGTTTCAAGCTCAGCTAGTTTCTTTGGTTCCACGAATCCTCACACGCCCAGAAATCTAAGGCCGACTACAGCCACTTGTGAACTTCCATAACGAGACCTACAGTTACAAAAAGATCACAGACTGCCAGACATCGAACGCAACCTTGTACCCCGAACATTGGTAACTTAAAAGATACACAAAAAAAAATTATTTCTTCTCTTGTCCCCCCCCCCCCCCCCCCCCCCCCCCGCCTTCAAAATGAACAACAAAGCCAACCTTACAAAGAAGTATTTGTAGTTTTTAAGACTGACCCTTCAAAAGCCCTACCCTCTCCTCGACTTGCTCGTCTTGCAGACAGCAATATCGAGAAGTAACTGTTGCTAGGTTCGAACAAGGGACTTTGCTCAATTGAAACGTGTGAGGTTGCTGTAAAACGCTCGTACAATGTAGGGTAAAAGTAAATTCGGCTCGTCTAAATCGTCCACTACAAACATCAATATGATTAAAAGCTGAGATTTTTAACTATACTTACTATACCAAATATAGTACACTCTCAAGAAAAAAGGGTGTCAAAAGGTGTATGCTTACACCCTTTGTCCCATATAATACACCCCGAAACTTCACTTCGGCATACAGCGCCCTACAAACGAACAGACGCCCCGAAATTTTACGAGGGGCTTGATAGCCGTGTGGTAAAACTTATTAAAATATATAATGTACGTTTTACTGAACACGAAAAAAAATATTCCGGGGTTTCTTGGCCCTACTGTAAAAACTCGGTGTTTTCCTTATGTGGTCTTTGATACGTACTTCAGCTATTTAAAATGTTATACCGCACGGCTCTCAAGCCCCTCGTAAAATTTCGAGCCCTCTGTTCGACAGTAGGGCACTGTACGTCAATTTGAAATTATGGAGTGTATTATATGGGACAACGGGTGTAAGAATACACCTTTTGACACCCTTTTTTCTTTCTTTTTCCCTTTTCCCTTTTCTCGTTCCTTCTGATTTTTGGAACGCGTTCCCGTTACAAGTTACATCTAGGAAAAAGGAACTCGTTCCCGTTAGTTAAAAAAAATGGAACGTATCGTTACATATACGTCACATTTGAATTTGGGTACTTATAAGTACCCAAATTCAAATGTGACGTATATGTAAGTAAGTAAGTAAGTAAGTAAGTAAGTAATATTTATTTTCAGCAATATTGTGCTGAGGGCACCAGACAAAAAGCTTCCATGAGGTAGCTTGACTGGGCCTGGTGCCCCTGCACTTACAGGGCATTATAAAAAAAACAAGTACTACAGAATACACTTTGACTAAACAAAACAAACACGTACATCTTTTTTTGTTAAACAGTGAATATCATTGTGGTCTATAAGGAACTTGTTAAGTAATGAAGGCAGGTTATGCGCAATAGATTGGAGTGCATAATTTGTACGAAAATGAGGCACGTTCCAGAACTCTCTGCGTCTGACAAGGATGAAGGATTCACGTTTTGTCAGATGGGATACATTAGACAAAAAAGAAGCAAACTCAGCGGTCGAAAATAAATAAGAACATAGCAAACGGTACTCGTATACACTGGCAATCCTCATGATGTTGAATTTAAGAAATAATGGCTCAGTATGAGTAAAAAATGTAACGATACGTTCCATTTTTTTTAACTAACGGGAACGAGTTCCTTTTTCCTAGATGTAACTTGTAACGGGAACGGGTTCCAAAAATCAGAAAAAACGAGGAACGAGCTTTCGTTCCTCTTTTTTGAGGAACGTGTACAACACTGGGCTGAGGCAGCAATCTCACTGGCTACGGAGCGAAAATGAGATGTTTTTACAATCACCCCATTATCGTTTATTTCAAACAATCAGTTTGTAGTTGCTTCACTTGTAACTGGTGCGTTGCTCTCTATGGAGTCTAAAAAAAAGCGGAGATTAAGCTTTGTTTTACCCATGCAACGGACCGTCACGGACGGCTGTTTCACCCAGGCAATCCAGCGCTGTAAACTTTTCAAGAGACTACGCGATTAGGAAGTCCCGCAACACCCACGGGACATTGTAATTGGCTTCGATGACGCGTGGCGTCTTGTGCGGTTCGTCGTAGTGAAACGGTGCATCGTAGCACGTCACTTTTCTCAATTCATTTCAAGTAGAAAAAGCTTTATGCCTGACATAATTTGAGGAAGGATAGATACAGTGCAAAGAGCTAGACAAAAATTGAAAAATCTCGTAGAAAACAAAACAAAAAACAACTCGTCTTGTTATTTGCTTTTATGCTTTGCATAATTGAACTGTACTGCCGCGGTCGCAGTGTTAATACGTCATAGAGTAGATAGTCTGAGGCTTGTCCCTTCCTTGTACGAACGTTACTAACAAAAAGTAATCAATTACTTGAAAAAGTAATCTTTACTTATCCGATTACCTCCGATTTTTCTGCCGGCTGGAAAACGGGTCTTTCGAACTGTCCATTATTGGATCAGAATCACCGAGTCATCGGCCGCTAATCTTCTTAATCTAAGCGATTTCGGTAACACCAGCCTCCTGTCGGAGACTTGGTTCTACGATGCCTCAGTAGGGAAACTCGTAGAAGCAAAGGGCACCATTAAAACAAGGAAGAAAAATAATTTTGTAAGGGTTACAACTGATTTTAGTACTTCCAAAAGTGCTCTTATTATTCTCGTCATCGTTCCTTACTACGTGTATTCAAATGATTACAAAATTACCCATAAAAGGACTCGAGTACAAGTAATTCGATTACTTGTAATGAGTGCCGTCTGCATCGGTCGTAACCAGACTGTCTGCGGACATGTTGGAAGCGTATAAATTCACGAAGCGAACGTGCTTGGAACATGCCTGAGATGTATCCGCGGCGAACTCCGCGTCTTTTGTGTGATTCGCGAGCACTAAGAATGCGGCTTTAGAGAACGCTATGGAGTTAGTACAATCAGCACTGTATGTCTTTGTACTATCTGCTTACTCATATGCTTCTCCTTCCTCGCTTTTTTTTTTATTTTTTAAAGCGAGGATTATTGCGGTTTTCAGAAAAAAAAGCAACAGAACTCAGTTGCGCGTTCCTCTATCCTAAAACTAATGAATTGTGTGTATCTTCATCTATTATTGACTAATTTTTAGTGAAATTACTAAAAATACTGAAATCGCGCTCCTTCAGAAGGACTTACAAGCGGTAGCTGAATGGTGTGACTTGTGGCGAATGTCTCTTAATACTAACAAATGTAAAAGTTATGAAAATTTCTCCGTTCAATCTCTACATCTTCTATCTACTAAATTTCTGATATGACCTCTTGAATCTGTAAGTTGCTACAAGTACCTTGGTGTTCGCATCACTTCTGACGTGTCATGGAAAACGGATACTGATCACATTATCTTTAACGGTAATTCTATGCCTGGGTACTTAAGCGGATATTCTAGGTTAGCCTCACTGTCTTTAAAACTATTATAATGAGTCAAACTCTTGTCCGTTCCAAACTGCTACTGGCTGACCTTGAGGCCTTACAGTATCCCGGCCGCCTGTTTTATATTCACTATCATCACGCAGCTAGTGTCTCAGCAATAAAAACTAGTTTATAAGCTCGTCCTTTTTCATTACGCCTAAACAAATTTCGTCTGTATCTTTTTTATAAAATTTATCATTTTAATACTTCACTGAGAGACAAACCCAAGCTAAATTCAGCTTTTAATTCACATTACGTAGATCATCAATTTAAAGTTGGAATTCTTCATGACGATGGTTCAGCTTGTTACAACTCATTCATCCCCAGGACGTCCTCCGAATAAAGTTACCTTTCTGCACATTTAGTAAACATACTATCCTTTGATTTATTGAAGATGCGGTGACTGCTTATTTGTGTTAATATTATAGCCTCTTTGTTTGCTTTGTTCTATAATACCATAACTTATTTACGTTTTTAATGTTTTCAGTACCTTGCTTACAGTATTTGTATATACCTGATTGTACGATATATTTGTTTGTCCCACTCCCTTGTGTAATGCCTTCGTGCCTTTAGGGTACTCAAATAAATAAATAGGTATGCACTGTTGATTTCTGTTAGCAAAGCCTTAAATTTGTTTAGATTACGTAACGGGTTTCTAATAAATCGTTGCTTGTAGCACGTTAGTGCAAGCCGGGCTGTATTCTGTTTTTACAAAGTAAAATTATAATACTACACAAGATTGCCGCTAAAGTTTTTGAAATAGGCGAAATGACTCGCCTTTTTGAAAATAATTGAACAAAGAACAGACTGAGAGAAGGAGACAAAGGAATTTCCCAAGTGATAGGCTTAGCTGGGAACATGTCTCGAAATTCCGCCAAGTGTTCTTTCTGGAAGAGCCGGTGTCGTATTAGTGACTTTTATTTCAACATATTTGTGATCTTCAAGGCATCGAGATTCCCCCTCATAACCAAGCTCGTACAAAGCGAATGCAGGCGGCTACGTTTTGATCTTTTTGACACGTAAAACGCTGAGCGCAAAGAAACAACAACAACAGCCACAACACATAAACGGTTTGAGCGAACTTACTGTAATCAGCAGGATTGTGGTATTCAGGACAATTCAGGTGATGCTGAGATAAGAATCCCAAGAGATTGCTGACGTGTCCGTTGTAGATGCAGCACCCTTCAGATAACATGTAAAGCTGAAAGATTGTTTGAGAGCGAGATATAAATTATTAAACAAAAACGATCACAAATGACACGGTACGATTTAATCTGAGGTCTACAAAAGCAGTACATTTACGAAAAAAATCCTAAGTGGGGTTGAACCGAAAAGCCAGTCATTGAAATCTACAGAGATAATCATAATAGCCAAGAAGCAAAACTACTGACAGTGTGTCGTTAATTCAAATAATTGCGTGAAGAAGACACTATTCGATTGAATGCACTCGATGCTACTGGTAAATTTCTAATAAAATATAAAAGAAATATTTTTAATATAATTTATAGCTCTACTATGATTAACATTCTGAAATATATGACCTGTGGCATTGGTCTTAATATGCCGGTGGCTTATAGCCAACAGCTGTGGTTTTAATATCCCGACGGCTGCTATTCTAAACACACGTAAGAAATATGCCTTTCTTGTCAATATCTTTCAAAAACTAAAATATTTTGAACGAGGCTTTCGGCATTTTTACTTTCTTTTAATTATGTAGCGGCAGGAGCGGTGTTCCGAGGCGACGTGTTTCCGCAAAGAAATGTGTTCTGCTTGGTCTGACTTCAAGAGAAGGACGTAGACCAACTTGTGGTGATCACTCATAGGTATCCATGCGTGGAGACAGGTAACTAAAAATAACTCTATTTGCCCCCAAAAAAGATCACCAAAATACGAGGACTTTGAAGAGTGTTAAATCGACCGGAGCTTCGAATTACTGGGCGTACCCTCTGAGGTATGAACTGTCGTTTGCAGATCTTACCATGTCAAAGTGAGAGAAGAGTTTGGCGCTGGGTGCCTGCAGGGAGCATACGACCGTGTGGCCGTTTCGCGCAAGGCCTTTTAGAACTTGAACGCACATTAAACTTGAAACGTTATCTAAGCCACTGTAATGTAAAGAGAAAGAAAAAGACATAGGTTTAATAACGTTCATAAAATTTTGTTAATATTACTGCTGCTGAGAGCCATTACAATGAAGGTTCGATTATAATTGTTCGTCATTCTATGTCTGAATACGGAGAAAAGAGACTTTCTCCCTAAGGCCGTAAGCAAGCATTCCATATTCTTGCAGTTAATTGTAACAATTCTTGTTTTATGTGAGACGTTCAGTATATTTAAGGTGATAATGAGTGCGGTGTATTAACTCTTGGAAATTAGCACGATACTTCCTCGACAAGTCAAGATTATTAGCTGGACAAATTCCTTCCAGCTAAGAGAGAAATAAAATGAGCTCCCTCTTTTGCCGCTGAGATTGAATGACGAATAGGAGCAAGATAGCGATCGTCCTTCTCATTCACTCGACTGGTTAGAGAGACTTCAGTGCAATATAACGCAAAAGGTTCGGATGGCGTAAAGAATAAAAAGATTCGCCGGTTCTGACTCTAGGTAACCTGCTTTAAAGAAAGATTAAAATACACATTTGTAAGTGGGTTCGCACTTGGCGACTGCTCGACTCCATAACATAAAGGAGATATGTGGTTAGCAAAAATACTTTTCCGTCGTTGCATCACTACAGCGGAAGGACACCGACGGTATGTGTTTTGAATTGAAGGTCGTACGTTCATAGGTTTCTTAAACACCCACCTCGTTGGCTCATCCAGAAATATCACAGCGGGGTTGCTGACCAGTTCTTGCGCAATGGCGAGACGCTTCTTTTCACCACCAGACAAGTTTTCCGTTCTCGTGTGGCAGCATTCGACGAGCCCCCACTCTCGCACTGACCGCTGAACCTAGAAAATACTTTTTGTTTACAATGACTAAGCGTTTCCAGCATAATGTGATAGTATGCACTACAAAATTCAACACTCATGAGAGTGTGAGTCATAGTAATCCAGGGCTAAAACTTCAAGGGAGTCACAAGAATATCCATAGTATCCTGGTGAACACTCTGCAAATAGGATGCGGACAATCTCCGAAGCCCCTTCATGATGTTTTTTTACGAGCAACACGTTTACAAGCAACAATCACCACATGCAGCTTTCACGTGCATAAGAAAAGGTCAATACAGACACAGTAAATCACGCATGAAAGAGGCATCACGATTAGGTTGACGTCTTTATTGCCTTATGCGTATGCGGCGAGAAACTGAGCGAGAGGAGGAAACGAGAGAAAGGGGGGCGTCAGAACGCCGAGCTCTGATTGGAATGATTAGTGGGTAGACCATATGCTAGCAGCCATTGTCTTCATTGCGCTCGTCGACTCCTTCGAACGCAGAACGCCGGCGTCCGACGTTTGGCTTTCGAATTTGAACGTGCTCGACGATTGTAGTGGAGACAAAGATAGCCTTTGTCTTCACTATCACCTGAATTCCTCCAGGTTGCGCAGCACGCCACATAGAATAGTATCCAGGATCTTCTTATGGAGCCGCTCGTCGCGGCAAGATCAACATCAAGCTCCATCTCGGCAAGGACCGAGAGGCTCCACGCAGAAATTGCTACGTTTCACTCATACACCAGTGATCATGCTGCCCCCTACCAGGACGTCTGCAGTTACGTAAACAGAATTACGAGCATTGGTGTGTTCACAGGGGCTACTTAACAGTTATTGAAGTATACGCTTAGTAACGCATAAAGTGAATACATTTATCTTGTTCATGTTGTCACCTTTTGAAGACTTAAAGAAAGGTGCCGCAAGCCGAAAGCGGCAACCTTGCTATCACTCTACGAAGCTTCGCCTCCGTAGCGCTTTTGAGTAAACAGCTAGTCCGGTATGCACGAACCACTCATTGTTGTATGTGTTTACATTTTATACTTGAAGCCTAATTACTGCCCTAGCCTTTTCCTTTTTGCCACGAAATTTATTCATAAAACAATAACCGAGATAAAACGTGTTTCTTACATCAATATCGGGCTTTCTGCAGTGGAGTCTCCGCGAAGTTCCGCGTCAATTTTTCTTCAAATTGTTCAGCAGTTGTTTAACGAAACGGAGGATCCAACCAGGCCTGAACGTCCACCGTGACAGAACATCCATCGAGACGGAATGTCCAATCGAGACGGAAGCTTGTGCATGTCTGTCTCTGCCCCCTGTTTGTGTTTTGCTTTCTTCGTCTTGATTGAACTTCTCTCTAATTTTGCGAAACACCTACAACTGCTAAAAAAAAAAAGAAGAAGAAAAAAGACGTGCAACTTCGCGAAGCCTCAACTGCAGCCTCAACTTTGCAGAGCCTCAACGAACCGTTTCAATAATAATAATAAAAAAATAACTACTAGCAAAGGAGTGTGACAGCAGAAAGTTCGAAAATCTGTCGTAATTAATTGATTAGGTTCCACAAATAAATACTTGAGCTTCCTGAAGGTGCTTGCAAGCTATGCACAGTTGGTTTCATCGTGTAGAGAAGTCTGCTTTTTTTTAAAAGCTTGGCTCGTTTTAAATGGGACATATATTTTTGTCGATAACCGAGGCCAAGACATCATGAATATTTATTTTAAATTCGTCAGAAAATTGCGCGAATCTCTCAGGTAAACTTTATTTCAGGGATGATTTTCATCACCACCTGTTTATTCACAAAGAGCAAAGTCACGAAGAAATATATCTACAGAACTGCGGATTGTAAACTTACTTTTACCATTTTGTTGCTTAAAGTTCTAGCTTGTCAAACTGTACAGCACAATAATACCCTACGTATCCACGTTTGCCGCATTGGGTATCCAGCCTCAGTAGACCTTCAGACCTGTTTGGGTCTTCCATCTCGTTGGATATTCAGACTCGTTGGACATCCTGTCTCAATTGGACATTTCGCCTCGATGGACATTGCCTGTCACGTGAGCAATTGGATCTTTCCACTCATTGGATCTTCCGTGTCGATGGATCTACGAGCCGTGCGCTCCCCGAGTTGCCCGGACGACTACTGAAATAAAAGCAAATAGGTCTGAAGCTCACATGTCCTTAGAGGTCTCCCTCTAACGTTTTTAAACGCAGAGAAATACATACAAAATGAGAGATAAGAAAATAGTATACATAATAACGGAGATTAATAAAAAAAAAACATGCCGCCCGACTCATGTGTCCTAATTAAAATGTCCAGCCCTCTTTCCTCCCTCCCCCCCCCCCCCCCAAAAAAAAGGAAAGAAAACAAAAATGCATTATAATGAAAAACCAGGGACTCTGGTGAGGAAAAATTAAGAAACTTTCAAGGTGAAGAAAAAGACCACAGTAGTAGAGTGTCGCTAAAGAGCACGTCTCAAAATAGTTTAAATGCGAAAAAAATCGAGATGTTTTTTTTTTCTATTTTAAAGTTTCTTACTTTTTTGCACCACGGTCTCAGGTATTACGTTATGATTATTTATCACCAGCTCGCCTGCACATTCACTATTACTCCGTTGGGAAACATATGTTGCCAGTGGCGTGGAAACAGCGGAGGGATAAGTGCAATTTTTTTTTTTGGCTTCTAATGAGGGCACGGCCACATAACTTTCTCCCCTCTCCTTTTTTACCGCCACTTTTCGTCGTCCCTTCGTTTCCCAAACACTTCAGAGCCTCCAGCCCTTAGCACTTTAAAAAGACATTAAAGTAAAAAAAGAGGTTTTTGAAGAATTTTTTGTAAATGTTCCACTAACTTTTTTATATTCGTTTGCAAAAATTACAGTGTTAGACGCAAAAAAAACAAAAAACGTTGAGCCTTTTTACTTTGGTGAAGAAGGAAGACCAGCGTAAACTCTTTTCTTGACACGCGTGTCCCAACCAAACTGCCTAAAAAAACAAAAAAACTCTTGTTTTTTTTTTAGTGGTTTTAAGCCTATACACCAACTCATGTTTACAAACAAACCGGAGCGCCCCTAGCGGACGCCACCGGCGCCGCGCATGTGCGATAGGGGTGTGGGCAAGAAGCTCGCCGTCGCCCATAAACAAACCATTGGAATGCGATGTTGTCGGCGTCGGTGTGAGTCCCCCTGCCCTTTTTCGCGTTCGAATTGTTGAACCTTGGTCTTCCTGGCGATGTCTGACTACTTGAGCGGCGTCAGCGAAATTACCGAGGCTCTTTACACCGCAAAACTTCGCGTGAATAATGTGACATGTGGCGATTCATTCCACGTGGACGCCGCAGTATCTACGCTAAAGCCTGATTCGCATGATGCGATTTCGCTCGCAATTTTCAGTCGTGACGCCGCTCGGGCTGCAAAAGCGTGAACCGTAGTTGAGATAGTCGACGTCGATACTGAAAATCGCAAGCAGAATCGGACCAAGTGAATTAGGGCTAACAAGTCGGTGTTGGCCACTGGTAACAATGATCAACATCTTTTTGTATCTACTGTTTACATCGAGCCTGCTTACCAACTTTCAAATTTAAGTCTTTTGAGACTTGGACTTACTTCTTATCGCAAGTACCAGGCCAACATTTGGTCTACGGGCCGGCGTCGTCTAAAGGGGTGTCCAAACAGGACACTACAAAACTCACGACTCCGGCAAATCGTGCCGCGCTCTGCCGCGATCCGCTTCCGGCCGTCGGAGGGAAATTTCCCTCCGTCAATTCTTCCCGGGGGGAAACTTCCCTCCGTCAAATCTCCCCCTCGCTTCCTCCACGGCGGCCTTGCTCTGCTTATCACGTGGGTCCGGAGAGCCACTCACACGCTCTGTTGGCTGTCGGTCAATCGCTCAAGGCCTCCGCTCACAATACGGAACCGCGTCGGACGCCATCACGACGAAAGTGAATCTCGACAAAGAAAGCAAATCCGAGGCGGGCGAAACGCACCCTTTGACGCAGGAATGTCCCAAATCCACCCAAAGCCGGACCTCCTTGGCCTTCGAGCCGAAGCGACGGCGGTACGCGAGGGCGTTGGCGAGGTGAGCCAGACGCAGGTGGCGTGTGACGTCAATCTCACGAGGAGAGCAGTCGTGATCGTAAACATTTTCACGACTCCTGCAAACATTTTCACGACTCCGACAGACCGTAAAAATAGAAGCGTCCGCTTCAATTTTCACGATTTGCCGGAGTCGTGAGTTTTGTAGTGTCCTGTTTGAAACGTTTGAAACGTTTCAAACAGAAACGTTTGAAAAAGCAGACGACAGTTTGAACGATCAGGCGGCCGTTTGAACTTGAAGACGCACTGAACGTAGTCCGCAGGTGGTCCGCACAACTGGACGGTTTTCCGGCGTTCATGTTGGAACAAACAAACAAATGTGATGACCACAAGTATCCGTGAATTCAACCCAAAGTGCTTCCCACCCAAGCAATTGTTGTCCGACGGCGTCTGCTTTTCCCTTTTCACGGCACATATCCAGATTCTCGGACGAACCGAGCACGTGAAAACTGACCTTCAAACCTTTCTCGACACTTTTGGTACGGCCCCAGTCGCGGCGTTTTGACGAGAAGGCAGGTTTTTGTCTGGTTCCTTTCAAAACAACGCAGGAATACACGTCTGGCATGGTGACCAGAAGTGCGACCGACGCGCCACCACCGCGCCATGATAAGCGCTGTGCAGCTGCATGGGTTTGTTGCGGGGAAAGGTCTCTAGCGTCCCACGTCAATTATGTTGCTTGATCTGGCTTGATTTGTTCCTTTGTGTGTGTTGGTGATGAATGAAAATGAATGTTCCTGTAAAAGCGGCCCCTGCCCTGTGAATTGAGCAACCATTGTGATTGCAACCAAGGTTCACTATCGAGAACATACGTACGCCGGTGAATCTGCGAGCCATTTTGGCTGGAGGCAATCGGGCGTTCGGCTCTCATCAAGTTTGTGTATGTTCGGGGTAAATTCGCAACGAAAGGCAAGTAGCAGGAGTGTTGTAAGTTG